TCTTTCGTTGATGATTGTTAGTTTATTGTAATAATATTATTATGTGCATGCATGTTCTCATTAACAAACAACAATTGTTTGCACATTGGAAAGTATTCATGTGTTATTTTTGTAGATTAGGAATGACGGCACTGTGCATGTTTATGTACGTAATCAGTATGTCCATCATAATGATTATTAGGTAAGATTTAATTTTTTTAAATCATGCATTACGATAGTGTGAATTTTTTTCTAGAAATATTGAAAGAAACTAAAGGGAATAAGCATTTATGTCTTGTCAAACACTTGGCATTACTAACGTATTTTCTTCCTGGCTTAACGCTGATGTATTTTTAATTCACAGTTTGATTATTTTTTAACATCTATTATTATAAAGAATTACACAGTTAATAAAAGTTATAGTTTTTTGTTACGGCCCCTCTGGGCCTCGGCCTGCGGCCCCTGCCCCTGCCAGCTCTCCTTGGTAGATTGGCATACTATTACGGAATATAAAGACAACATTAAGTACATCATAGTAAAGACTTACAATCTGTCTATTCACAGCCCACAGCTGGGCTATTATCTGCTGCCTTTGCTGTTGAAGCAAAGGCAGTCCTGGGGCAGGAGGGGCTCCTCCATGAGGGAGCACCGGTGCACCTCCAGGAGGGAGCACCGGTGCTCCTCCATGAGGGAGCACCGGTGCACCTCCATGAGGGAGCACCGGTGCACCTCCAGGAGGGAGCACCGGTGCACCTCCAGGAGGGAGCACCGGCGCACCTCCAGGAGGGAGCACCGGTGCACCTCCAGGAAGGAGCACCGGTGCTCCGCCAGGATGGAGCACCGGTGCCACTCCAGGAGCGAGCACCGGTGGGCCTCCAGCTCTTCGGACCGGGATTGGGAGTGCTGGAGGTGGTGGTGGTGGTGGTGGTGGTGGAGGCCTTCCATCTCCAGCTACTGGCGGTGGCGGATGAACTATGTGCTCATCACCAGCATCATCCATTATAAAGTATGCTACCAAATAAGAAGAAAATATATTGATAACTAATTTAATTTGTAACTGAACTGACTTCAGTGCTTCTTTAAAAAAAGAAAGTTGTGGTAGTTATAACTAGTTAACTTGAGAGCAAAACGGCAACTGAAATTGAATCAGAATGTAGACTTAAATAGTTTCAGAACAGGAAATAGATCTTAGTATTAATGGTCAATAATGATGAATAATTATTAGCTAGGCTATGAATATAATTAATGATTCGAATATTAAAAAAAATTAATAAAAAGTAATTGTATGAAAAATGTTTTTAAAATGCGATAGGTCTTCTTATAGTTTTTATTTCAAAATTCTTTTCTTCCAGCAATGAACTGATAACTAAGGCAAAAATTGTAATTATTAATAAAAAGGATTATTAATTAATTAATGATGATGAAAATTATGAGCTGGGCTATAATTAATGATTCAAAAATTCAAAATTTATAAAATAAATTTATTAATAATTTTATAATTATTAATTAAAAGGATTATTAATTAATAAAATTTAATAAAAAGTATGGAAACAAGTAAATAAAAAAGTTTCTATTAAATAAGAAAAAGTAGGGTTGTCAAAAAATGAAAGAAACAAGGGGGTTGAGTTCAACCATAATAATAATTAATAGTTCAATTAATAATTATAAACGTTAATTAATAAAAAATAATAATTCATAAAAATAGTACAAAGATTTCAAACCCTACTTTGCAGAATTTTATGAAGGAGTATTGTTTCCTTTAAAATGACAAATTTTAATGAAAGATTGATAACCAAACTGCTTAGTTTCGGCCTACACAACTGTGGTGAGTCCAATTACAACTCTGATACATTTATTTTTAGATATTGTACTGAATCACAAACATTAAAGAATGCAATAGCAAAATAATTATCTATAATTTAGATGTTTTAATTGTCATGACAATAATTTGTTCAAATAATACTAGCTGAAAAGTTTTATTTATGTTTAACAATAATTAATTTACATCATAGAAATGTAGTAGAGCAATCAATAGGTACAAAGGCATAATTATTATTAAAATTCTATTTCTGCCTATTATTTTCTGCAAAATAGGGTGTGAAATCTTTGTACTTTTTTTATGATTTATTTTTTATTAATTAACGTTTATAATTATTAATTGAACTATTAATTATTATTATGGTTGAACTCAACCCCCTTGTTTCTTTTATTTTTTGACAACCCTACTTTTTCTTATTTAATAGAAATTTTTTTATTTACTTGTATAGGGTATTATAATGTTACTATTTATAAAATGTGTTACTAAAAATAAAAGGCAATAGCAATGATTTACTTAGTACTGTATAAAGTTTTTGAGGAATTTAAATTTGGCAAATCAATAAAATTTAGTGATTGGCAAATTTTAATTTGGCAAATAAGTGGCCAAGTGCAATTGAGTTAGCATACAATGGCTGAAAATGGCGGATTTTTATTTTGATGAACAGCTATCAAAATGCCAAAATCGCCAAATTTAACTTTCCTTCTCTACAGTACATTCTGTAAATAACAAATAATGCTTAAGGTTACATGTATAATTTCTATGCTGTGTGCTACTATAAATAGACTTTTCCTTATAGGGGTTATTCCTTGCCGTTATTATTAATAGTTACAATGTACTTGTGTGTAGTGAGGAAGACTCGACAGTGTGAGCCAGCGTTTGTCCTCAAGTTCAGATTATAAACTAAAATTCTCTGAAATAAAAATAAATAAAACACATCTATATTCAACGAGCATAACAGTGTAAAAATATTCCTATAATTCATGTCACAACCTTGCATGTACAGCTGGGTTCTTATTAGGATATATTAAGGTTCTCTCTACCTTCTACTGCTTTTAGAAAAGTCTTTTAACAGTATCTATATGTTCTTTCACTAATAGAAAGCTCATAACTTTGTTCCATGTGCAAACCGCCATTAATTTTTTTTGCCGTGACCACACGCACTTACGTAGCGTGGGAAGGTGGTTGATTAGGCTTGTTATTTTCTAATACGTGTATTGGAGAAATGTAAGTGTTGACATACAATCAAATATTATATTGAACGTGGGTGAAATCAATTATAGGACGACCTGGGGCTGCACCCCCTTGTCATAAAAATTAATTTTGAGCTCACCTGCATATGTACACTTATGTGTAAATGTACATGTACATATTTCTTCATCCTACACATTATTTTCCTTCAGCAGAAAATAAAAAATAAATACATGTAAGTATGTTACATGTACAATAAACAATTAATTTTGATATCCTACTTGTACACGTAAATATTCTATACATCAGTGACTCCCGGTTTTGGATCTTGTACCTTTGTACTACCTACAATCCATGTATATCATTAATTAATTAATTTATTATATTTCAATCACACCCACAATAAGACCAAACCTACTTGTATGCAAGCCTCAAGAAAAGCTTTAAAAAACTCCACACTAACACCTTTCTAATTATGATTTCTGACCATAATTGACAAAAGGTACCTTATGGCGGATAGGAAAATTGGTCATTATAGCCTAAAAAATCCAACTTCCTGAGCTCCATTTATCATAAAATTAATCCAGAGGATGCAAAAAGTTACTATGTAGCTATAGAAACAATTGTTGACTAACAGAGCACTCACAGGTTGATATTTTTCATTTTAAAGAGGAATTTTAAAAACTGCCATAAGGCACCTTTTGTCAATTATGGTCAAATTTTAAAATAATAGTTTTCAGTTTAATTTGTTGCTACTTGATGAATGACTGACAGTAGAACTGAGAATAAGTTAAGCCTGATTCACACTGCTGCAGTTAACTTTCAGTAGCGCCATCGTAATCCATTCACACTAGGTAGTTAACATTCCTATTTGCTGTAACATAACAGAACGTTTGAGTAGAACTCCATTCCATTTAAAAACGACTAAGGTAAACATCTAGCCAATCAAAATCATTCAGTCACGTGTAGCTATATCATTATTCATTAATATACAAGTACAAAAAAATGGCCGAGTTTGACGAATCTCTTATTTTGTGTGTAAAGGACTATCCTTGTTTATACAATTCCAAAAGTGCAGATTTCAGGATTACATGGAAGAAAGAGAATGCATGGGAAGAAGTGTCCAAGAAACTGGGTTGTCCAGTTTTGTATTATTACAACTATGAATGATCAGTGAAGGGTTACTAGCTAATCATGCAAACCTAATTTTTAGCCTCGGTTTTAGCACACTAAAGATAAACTCCCTCCCTTGTCTATTTCTGTGTCTCTGTCCATACATTTTAGTGTTATAATAGGTTTCTTTAATGTTGGTTGCTTTAGTTTATTTGGTTGCATTATTATTATAATACTATAATAATCATTATACTATTATGGTACAGGATATCATTGTCATTATTATTTTATTAGTTGAAGTTGCTTCAAAGAGATGGAAAGTGTTACGTGAGCGTTATACAAAAGAGCACAAAAAGGCTAAGAAACCAACAGGAACTGGAACTGATGAGGTGGAGGTGTGGGAGTTTTACCATCTGATGCACTTCTTACAGGATTTTGTCAAACACAGGAGGTATATATAGAGTATTTTTATCCCACTTAATAAGCTTTTTAGTACTGTGACAAATATGCCAACTTTTAGCACTCATACTGATGAGTTAAGATTTTCCCCAGGGGCGGAAAGTACTCAGTCAAATGATGAAGCTACATCTAGCAGTGCAGCTGCATTATCTGATAATGACAAAGTAAGTGTAACAGAAAAGCCTAAGTAAGGTGCATGTGTAGTTATTTTTACAAATTTACTTTACATGTAAATGTAGGATAACAATAAAGACAAGGCAAAAATGAGACAAATTGAATCAGACCCAATAGAGATGGAAATACTGTCACAGTTAAAGAAAACATCAGATGCCATGATTTCTACTAATGATGAAGATTTCGCTTTTGCTAAAACAGTTGCATTGACTCTAGACGACTTAATGGACGACAAAAGGCTTTTGCAAAAATGAAAATACAAAAATTAATGTATGATATAGAGTTTCAGCAATTACCACAACAGCCAAATGTGGAAGTGTATGCATCTCCACCACCTGCACGAGGTTACAATAATGACCAATATTATTATCTATAAATGACATAAAACAAAATACAGTAATGGTATAATGCTGTTAGTTATTAGCTTGTACATAATTTTTACGATAACAATGAAATTAGTCAATTATTATACTATTATTAAGTAGAATGGATGTGGTCCTTTTGCCAAGGTACAGCACCAATGGAATTAACATAAGCAGTCATGTATTCTTGAACTTCCTTAGCTGATTTTGAGTATGTATTACTACCCAATGAGCCATTAATGGGATGGAGTTGATTTCCATTTCATCTCCAATCTCCAAGAATTTTATTTCCCTCACTATCCTCTTGATCAACAAATCCAGGGGGACAATAGAGTCTGGCAGAAACAGGGCAATGCATCTCTAAAATTTTCAAATAATTGTGTAAAACACAGGCTGCCTGAGTTATCCTTGTTACTTTTTCTACCTTTGCTATTATAGGTCTACGAAAAATCCTAAACTTTGTGGCCAAGATACCAAATGCATTCTCAATCACACAGCGTGCCCTCGAAAGCCAATATTTAAAAATTCGTTTATTCTCTGGTAAATATGATCCAGGATAAGGTGTCAAAATGTATGTCTTCAAAGGGAATGCACAATCAGCAACGAAAAAGTATGGCATGTGTACACAGATCTGAGAAAGCACAGGCTCAGGAATAGACAATGTATTGCTCTCCATTGCTTGACCAAGTAATGAATTGCTAAAAACTCTACCATCACTTTGCCTTCCATAGTTCCCTATATCAAGTAATGTAAAGCAATAGTTATAGTCGCAAACCGCTAGTAAAACAATGCTATGTGTCCCTTTGTAATTGTAATATTGTGATCCACTATTGGCAGGAGCCTGCATTACTACATGTTTACCGTCGATGGCTCCAATACAATGTGGCAAGATCCAAGCCTGACAAGATCCATCAATAATTCTCTTCCATTCCTCATTGCTGCCAGGTGGCTTTAAATATTCCCCAGAGAGAACATCCCACAAAGCTTAGCAAGTGTCATCAATAATAAGACTGACAGTGGCATGCCCTAAGCGGTAGCTAAAAGAGATTGTCCGCTTTGAATTGCCAGTTACATGGTAACGTATGGTTACTGCTAATCTTTCCCCTGGAGATATGGGATCCCTCAGTTGAGTTGTTGTTCGAGCAATTGATGGCCCAACTCTACATAGTAAGCCATCAAAAGTCATAGGGGTCATATGAAAATACCTATAGAAACTCTCATTGTCAACCAAGCTCATTTCTTGAATAAGAGAATGATACTCTCCCAGGGTGGTTCTATGCTTGAAAATATCACGTATCCAAGTCCTTCTTATTCTCTTCATTCTACGACGATACAACAGTATGAGTAACAGTATCCTTCTTCCATAAATATCCGCCATTTTATTCAAGTTACTAGTTATTAGTAGTTAAGAAACAATAATTTTTTGCCAATGTAAATTGATTTAGGTAACGTTACGTGACTTGAAGATATGATACGTATGTTAACTATTTACAGTGTAAATCAGGCTTTACTGATTGATTGAGGATGCTTAGTACCATTCTCTTGTCATTTCCTGTGAGTACTCACTATGACCTTAACAAAGAGAGGATGGAAATATGTGTACATGTATTTTATGCTTGGGTTTAATTTTTTGTTGGTTTTGTTATTGTTTATAATAATAATAATAATATAATAATAGTAATGATAATAATAATAATGTACGTGTACATGTAGTAGGTACTGTACAAGTAAAAGTTTATGAATGAAATAGTCTTCTTCTTGGAAGCAATTTTATGACTAATGAAAGAGTGACAGAGGGGGAGAGAAGATTGAGTGACAGAGAGAGCGAGATTGAAGAATTAAAAATATCAAATTCAGTAATATGTGACCATAATTGACAAAAGGTACCTTATGGTGGGTAGTAAAATTTGTTATTGTAATAATAAAAATCCAACTTACTGAGCTCTATTTGTAATGAAATTGCTCCAGAGAATGCAAAAAGTTACTATGTAACTTCTAGAGGCAGTACTTGTCTAACAGAGCACTCACAGGTAAAATTTTTAATTATAATGATGAATTTAAAAATCTGCCATAAGGTTCCTATTGTCAATTTTGGTCACATATTAATTTGAGCTTGATTTCAGCTTACAAAGTTAAAGCATTTCAAGGATGTCTCCCTTAATCATCCTACACAAAGCAATAAATATATACACGTACATCATTATAAACAGGTTAAACCAGTATTGATAACCAGTAACACTATCTGAAACACTTGTCTGGAAATGAGGTCTTTGTAGAAGGACTTGTGTTGCAATGCTTTTTCTCTTCTGGACATAATAGTGAGACAAACATGAGCCTTTGCTTTGAAAAAAACATGTAAATGTATTGATATTTATAATTAATACAATAATAGTTTCATTAAATGTAGTTCAGTTAGTTCATTAATTCATTTCTGACTGAAGCGTCTGTACAATGTTTCAGTTTAATCTCTTAAGATCATAACATCAAATTTCGAATCCCTTTAAAAAGTACAGTCATTTTCAATAGATGTACATGTATATCTTCATTTCTTGTCGTACCTTCAGTACATTTCCACTGGCATTATAATAGCACCCACAGAGGTACATACAGTTTGCTTGTTGGCTATCATGACATCCAGCAAACTAAAAATAGTCTCAATGTAACTTCCTAACAATAAGAACAAGCAAATATAATAACACATTAATTGGTAACAAGAATTTGCAAGTACACCATAATGCGGGTAATTTTTGGTGGTTGAAAATTTCAACTGAAACCAGAAATGATAATACAATAAAAATTTGTATGTTTTATATTGGTGTTTTCATTAACATGTTTAGGAGTGATAGCATTAGAAAGAGGTTCACTGGTCCTGTAGGGTCTGGAAGGGATTCTTTAGAAGGTGATCACCGTTTTCAAGGCCATCCATGCTTGTTATCTTGTTATTAATAGTTTATTATGGTCAAGCCTATCTTCAGAATTAAGTTTCATCAGAATTAATAGCAACGAAAAAGAAGAAAATAAGCACCAGTCAAAAATTACCCGCTATACAGTATTTGTTTTCACCCACATGATGTATATTTGTACATGTATGTCAACAGTTGCATTTCTTCTATACATGTTCTATTGGAGAAATAACAAGCTTTAGCTACCACCCGCCTATGTTCCGTTGCGTAGTGGGTGTGGCCACGGCAAACAAAATGGCTGATTAAATATGGGACAAAGTTAAGAACTTTGTAACAGCACGACAACATAGAGATTCCATCTAAAGACTTCTCTAGAAGCATTAGAAGGTAGATTCATGAGCACATTCAATGTGGTGAAAACAACTATAGAAATATTTTGACACTGTGACACTTGTTTTGATACATTGTATATACTGTACATACAACTAAACACCATCTTTGATGTAATACATGTATTACATGTACATATACATATGTAATGCATGTGTATGTTAATGATCAAATTTATCTCTCTCAATTGGTTTGTTCTCAAACTGAGGTAGAGCAAGACACTTTAAGTCTTTGAAGTAACAGGTCTTGCCGTCTAGAGAAAGGAGAGTATGAAGGAGAAAAAAGAAGAAAAAAATTAATGAGAGTTACCACTAGTGATTGTGTGCATTAATTACTTACAGGACCAAGGAATGAATGGACGTATCTTGTCTTCAATCATAGTTTGATGTCGAAGACTATACGAAAGAAATGAATAATAGAATGATAATGATAACGTTCTTACACAGACTGAGTACCAACAATATTGGGCCAACAAAAGAGAGAGAGAGAGACAGACATAATGAGACATATATGGTCAGTTATAGAAAGAAAAAGTTGAATCAAAATAGTGAAAACCAAATTTTGTTGGTTAGTAAGGTTTTGAACATTCAGAGCAAGTTTTAAGGGCATATTACATCTAGGTATCCCAAAAAACACTGAAGTTATTGGTTTTGGGTAGTGTACACTGGTATTGAGGGTATGGCTTTTGAGGTTTTGAAGGATGGTGAGTACTGTTGGACAGGGGCAGATCTTGGATAGATATTTTTGGAAATTATAGAAAAAAACTTTCAGCACAAATGGTGCTGAGTTTTTGGAGAGCTAAGGAAATTCATATGAAAGAGTCTAAATCAACTCTTTCAGCTATAATAAGTTGCGCTGCTGGCACTACAATTCCTATTGTTGTTGATGATGTTTCTAATTCGCATGCTATGGGAGATTGCAGTACAATTCACTGGTGGTGCAACATACATGACTGTTAGTGCAGGTGCTACTACGCCAAGAACTAGTATCATAGCTACATCAAACCAATAATTTGCTGACACTGACAGGTGTTGTTGTTTATCATGTTAGTGCATGCAACCATGGGAAGAAATATAGTGTTAACTTGGGAAAAATTAGTGCTTATATGGGACGTGAAACTGTATACCATATTTTAAATAGGAATGCAGTGAGGCTCATACATGTACCATTTTGGGATATAGCTGTAGATGAAAGTCATAACAGAAATGCCGTTGAAGAGGCACTACAGATTGCATGCAGGAAAGCATCTGCTAGTGTTACATTACTTATTTCTATGGAAGCTTTACTTGAGAAGAATCACTTTTTAGAGAAGTTTCGTGAATACGTGATGTTTATAAAAGAGCAACTCCAGAAATTATTCTACCGTGTACATCGTATTTATGCTCTTCTACTGACTATAACTGATGAAGTAAGAATGATTTTATTTACTTGTCTAACAAGATTATAATAATTGGAGATACGTAATGAGCTACCATTTGAGATCGTAACTGTAGATGAAGTCAAGTCTTTTCATGAATAAATGGGCCCCAACTGTGAAAGATATCTTTTAAGCAAAGGCGTGTCAAATAAATGAAATATTGGAAGACATTTTAACAGGTA